CAAGTGACTGTGACCGTGACATACACAATGAACTTATTTTTAAAAATATGAGAACTTGTGTTCAGAGTCTTGTCTGTCAATAATAGTTTCTACCAATACCAAGTGTCAGACCTTGTACTAAAATGAGCCATTAAACAATTTGTTTTCAACGGCCTTTGGCCAACAACAGTTATACGACAATGCTCTAGTTTCATACCTTACTCCTTATTTTCTGAATACAATATACGTTGCGCCCTCTGTGGCCATGCACATTGACTGCATACTGGACATTTAAAGATGCATTTTATTTTACATATGTCTTTCATTTTATAATTGCACTCCCAGGAGATGGCACATGAATCTTTTCAAATGTCATGTATGCATGGCAGGTGAAGTTGTACGGATGAAGGGTGATTGATCAGAGTCGCTGATAGATGCAAATCCCAATAATAAGATCAGTATTATTTCGTTTCCTTACTTGCCTGTCTACTTGTTTTCAAACTAAATAGTTCTGCTATGCATTGAATCCTACTATCTTTATCTGGTTTGATCATGAGCCCATGGACTCGAGTCGGATGACGCAGCAATGAGATTTAGGTTTTCTATTATATATTTTCTATTTTATCGATAAATTGATGATTAAATTAATGGAAAACATTAAATCAACGATTATAACGACAAATCTGAACTGGTTACATTATAGCGCCACCCAGCGGTTTTAAGTTCCTCTGTATTTTGCTAGATGGCACGTGCCCTGACGCATATTTCGTGAAATGGAACAATACAGCGTGTCATCACGTACGCCAAGTTTACTTTATATTTAAACCGCAGTTATCAAAAAAGATTACCCGTGCTAAAATTAACTGGACACGTTTGGGCATAAAATGTATTATTGTTGCGTAGATACAATCACCTCTACCGACAACAAAGAAATCATTGACTATGCAAAATTCATTTTTAACTGCAGAGATATTGCCGTGAAAAAAACACCAGCTGCCCCAAAATAATCACACAAGTTCACATTTCTTGTATTGTTTTATTTTTGTTTTGTTTTCTTATAGATTTAATTTTCTGGTTTTTTACTTTAGTTTGTTGCTTTTTTAGCTAGCTGTTGTTTATTTAAACAACATACTTTATTGTATTATTTTCAAGATCCCAATAAGGACACGGAATCAATAAAGTTACTTATTTACTTACTTACTTACAATATGCCGCTTTCAGATTTGTACTCATATGCGTCGAAATGCTGAACGATTCATTTTAACCACGTAACCATACGCGTTTTATTATTTTTATTATTATTCATCATCCAATCATTCTCTTTCTGTGTTATTTGAGCTTAAAGTATTACGAGCATTGTAGTACAATCGTTACATAACAAGTACTAAGTATTGTTTTGCCTAAAGAATTTTATCCGCTGTTTCTTGTTGTGTTTTTTCGTAACCAGAACTCTTTCCAACACAATCCACTTGTTCGTGTGCATAGTTTTAATATTTTATTTGGTACTTTACGTGACCTTTCTCGTCCTGGGTGACCTTCTGGTGAGTGAGAAAACAATTCTAGCTATGTGACAGTTCTAAATATAATATTCTAGTGTTCATTCAATATCTGATGTAAGTAATCCGCACAAATAGTACATGGAAGCAAGTATTAGTTGATAAATCAATGACTATCCATTCTCGAAAGTTTTTCCCCTCAAAACATAGTAATTTCTCATTTTAATACGTGGCTAGGCAGACTAAAAGTTAAATGCGATATAGGCTCCTGACCCGTGCTGCTCGGGTCACGGTTACACTTTCGTACAAAATAATCAAAGAAAAAACGGGTAATTTGAAGTACATAATTTATGTCAGGTTTACGTGTTTTAGACACGGTTGCTAATAGTAATCGTGTAGAAACAAAGAAACCACCAGATTTATGAAGATTACGTGTTCACATGCGCCGAATGGCTACTTTGAAATTAGATAAAACAAAATACAGTTGACCGTCGCATCCCTATTCATTTTAAGAAGTCAATGTACTTATAACAAGCGAAAGATCCCCGGTGTTGTCTCCGCCGTATTGAAGCCACTTTACTTTGCGTAACGTGTTTTCACCAGTTTTTACGCAGAGGTATTTACTGCATAACAGTTACACCGGTGCTGCCTTCACGACCTTCAAA